TAGGCACCCAGAAGCACAGGAAGCCCCTTGCAGCCAGGCTCCGTCAGTGCTCTTGCTGGAGATGGGTGGCCAATGGTCAGTGGGGCAAGTGCAGGTCTCCAGAACCTAGGTGATACGTCACTGAGCAGCTAAGAATTTAGATGCACTAACTTACATAGATACACTAGTATAATCATGCTGATAAACATAGTATGTTTACTAGGACAGACCACTGTCAGAGCAGGCTTAGAAGTTAAGTCTTAAAATTTGGAGTCTACTCCAAATCAGAATGAACTTTTGATTGCACTACTTTTGGTGCAGAGAAGGCACTTCTTAATGCTCTCTGAGCAGCTACTGTCTGCAGGATGAAGAACTTTGGCTCTAGCAGGAAGAGGCTTTCAAATTTGGATGGTTTATATTAGGGAGAGCAGGGAGTGCCGAATATTCCCCACTAGTCCTGCAGAGGAGGGCAAACGCTGCATGGTGCTGTACTACAGACTTTCTTCCATGCATCAAAAAGATGCACTCTTTAAGATCTCTTAGATAAAGCTTGTGCCTGGAGGACAAACTCAATTGTAGAGTGGACTGTTTGCAAGCATAACCCTACAATTTCATTTTCAGAATATAGGATTGCAGGAGTTAATTAACTCATTATCAAAACAACACAAATTATTGTATCAGTTTCCAAGATTCAGCTTACACAAGAGTACAGTGGAAAACAATGGAGAGGGGTTCTCATCCACAGAAAAAATACTTGGTGCAAATCATAGAATCCTAGAATGGTTCAGGTTGGAAAGGACCTTAAGGGCCATCTGGTTCCAACCCCCTGCCACAGGCAGGGACACCTTTCACTACACTGGGTCGCTCAAAGCCCCGTCCAACCTGGCCTTGAACACTTCCAGGGATGGGGCAGCCACAAAATGCGCAAATCTATCACTACTGATGAAAATACTTCTTAGCTAAAACTTAAATACTTAAAATTTATCTTTTGGCAGAGCTGAACTCAATGGTGACTATTTATCCTAAAATGAGGACCTTCAATAGTTTTGGCTTAACATAGCGGTCATGCTTCAGCTTATGCTTTCTGTGCTTCTGACACCCAACTCAAACTGGTGTCAGGCCAGGGGCAGAGGCATTCATTCCTGTGTGTGCCTGAAGGCCAAGGAGGTATCCGCCAAGTCCCAGCAGGTAAGGGAGGTTTCAGGAGCTGCTGACTGTCAGGTCTATCTCCTTGGATAATGCTGGCAGCGCACCTCCCTCCTGCAGGTTCCAGGATCGTCCAAGCCCCTTGACAAGCTTTGCATTCGCTTGAAAACACCACTTTGTCGGTGACAATCTCGGTGCAGTCGCCTAACACCTGAAGCACTCTGAACCTGGCTCACAGCGGGGAACGCGCAGACCGAGTACCTCAGCTGACTGTACGCCTCGCTTGAAACCTGCCTTAAAGCCGAGCGCCCATCGGCTTCGCTACCTGCTTTGCCACATGGCTTACAGGCGGAGGGGTCGCTGAGGCCCGGCCTTGCCCCACGCCCGGACCCTCCGTCCCTTCAGCCTTCGGGGCCCGGAGCCTCTTCCGCGGCAGGCGAGACCGCCGCTCCGCCCTCAGTCGCCGGGCGCGGCCGCTGGCCCTGGGGCATCGCCCCAGTTCTGCGGGCAACCCACCTGCCCGGCGGGGCTGCGCGGCGCCGCCGGGGGGCGGGCATGGGGGTGTCCGAGCCTCTCGCTCCCCGCCCTGGCCCCACCTCCGCCGGGCAGCCAGCACCGCCCGCCTCCTGCGGAGCCAGGGGCGCCGCTGCCGGTGTCCCACACCGGCTGCCGTGTCACGACGAGCCCGGGGTCCGCCGGCTCTGAGGGTGAGTTACCCCGGCCCGGGCAGAGGGAGTCCCTGCTAGGCGAGGAGGCGAAGGGGCCCAGGGGCCTGAGAGGCGGGAAGGGTGGGCGGGCCGGCCCCTTGCCGCGGGTCGGCCCCTTGCCGCGGGTCGGCTCCTTGCCGCGGGTCCACTCGGCTCGGTGTCTTCCTCGCCGGGTGGGCGCCGAGCCCGGCCGTTAGCCGGGAGCAGGAGACTCGGTGTAAGCCTCCTCGTTCTGGGCGGCAGATGCAGTGACACTTGCGGGGAAGAGCGAGGCTGTGAGAAGCGGAGGGTGCTCAGCGTCAAGTGCCTCAGATCCAAAATATAGAGTGTGTTTTACAGGTATGTCGTAAAATTGCAGTTATTACAACATTGTTCTTCGTGATTATATAGCTGTAAAAAGAAACAGCTCCCCTTGATTCACAGTATGTCAGCAAACTTTTTGCTCATTAAAAAGTGCATTAGGCTTCTCTGTAGAAAATAACAAAATACTAAAATACGTTATGAAGCAAATACAAGTAAGTAAATGATACAAGTAAGTAAAATGTATGTGAAAATGCATCAGCAGGTGCTGGTCCCATGCTGGCAGGTTGTAGGAGTGCATCCCTTTGCCTGGCGTTCCTCCTGAGAACGACCGTGGGTTTCTTGTGTGTTTCCTGTATGCGACTATATATTCATACGTTGAGCTAGGCTGTGAGGTTCCCGGAACAGTGTTTGGCGGTGTTTATGTGGTACTGAGGGCTTGGTTCTTGTGAGGCCTATGGGTGCTCTGGTAGTACAGTTAATGAAAACAGTCCCAGGGTTGATGAGTGTATAGGGTTCGTGCAGATAGAACTGGTTTGCAAGACTCAGCTGGTTGATTCCTAAGGGCAATCTCAGGAAAATAGGTTCTTATGATTTCCCGTCTGTCAGAGGGTAATGCGGGTAGAGCCTGGAACCGCAGATGCAGAGATCAGAGCAATTGCAGGGAGCCATGTACTGCACCTCTTTCATAAATACAGTACTGGTAATCCCAGATGCTCAGATAATGAGTCAAGTTTCCCTCCCTCAATAAACATGTTTTTGTTTAAAATAATAAAATATTTAATGCTGAGATTTCTGTTTCTCAGTTTGGTTTTGGATAGTTAAGTCTAAAGTTTTTAGGCTTCCTCTATGAATTTCCCTATTGCAGCACCCGATTCTGCCTCTCCTTGGATGAGTTTTTAAGAAAAGGACAAAAACATAAAGGTTTACAGTGGCAAAGAGTCAAGTCCTCCCTTGCGTTTGAGGACATATGCACCAGCTTGGAGAAAGAGAATTCAAAGCTGAAAGGGTACGTCCTCATTCTGGTGCAGCTGCCTTGCCTTGGCAGTGCCAGTTGGACCCCACCAAGTATGGCCAGGCCATGTACCAGCAGTACAGTCCTGCAGGTGAATTCCAGAGGTAATTGCGGATGGAAGTTTTATAGCAGGGATGAAAGGAGTTGTCCTGTTCGTTACAGCGGGCACGTCTTGGTGATTCATCAATCTCTGCATGGTAATACTTTTGCTCTTCTAGTCAATCCACAATTAACTTCGCTACCATTATTGCTGATGAGAGCTTTGCCCTCTGCTCATCATGCATTACTTGCTTTAAGTCAATTAGCATTTCCCAGTTTGGTAATTGCAGCATTCTGTTCACAGCCAGCCACATCCTCTCAGTGACATGCCGTCCAGAGCAGACAATCTTAGGACTTTTTGACTTAGCCTGGTTTTGTTAGAGCTGTATCTCCAATGCTTGACATTCAGGATTCTGGTTATGTGATGTTAACTGTCAGGAGTCAGTAAATCCTGTAATCAGCTTATATAGGATGGATCCCATGTGTTGATCCTCAAAACACTTCTGATGAGTTCCATCCTCTAGCTGGCACCAGGTGCTGGATGCTTTATCTGGCAGAAAGAAGAGGGGGAGTATAGCCAAAGAGAGAGTAGATATGGTTTCTTTGTCAGGGAGGCGTGCAGTTGGCAAGTACTAGGTGCTGCAGGGAAAGAATCTGTGTTACAACGATGGGCACCTTTTCCTGCACCCTTGGGAGCTCTGAGGAAGAGACACCTGTACCTTGCTAACTTATATGCTGATTCATGCCACACAGTTTACCACAATCTTTTCTTGCTTTATTTTCCATTTGACCAAACTTGAGAGATAAAGATGTCATCATCCAGCTTTACTCAGCACTTGTCAGGCCACACCTCGAATACTTGTTGAGTTTTGGTCTCCGCTATACACAAAAGATGTGGACGGCTGGAGAGGGTCCAGAGAAGGGCCACAAAGTTGATCCAAGGGCTGGGAAACTGTGTGAGGAAAGGCTGAGAGATCTGGGCTTGTTCAGCCTGGAGGAAAAAAGGCTCAGGGGAGACCTTATCACCATGTTCCAGGATTTAAAGGGTGGCTACAAAGAAGATGGAGACTTCCTTTTCACAAGGAGTCACATGGAAAAGATACAGGGTAATGGGTACAAGTTACTCCTGCAGAGATTCTGACTGGCCACAACAAGGAAGTTTTTCACCATGAGAACAATCAGCCATTAGAATAATCTCAGGGAGGTGATGGATTCTCCAGCACTGGACACATAAGATTCGGCTGGACATGGTACTAGGCCATCTACACGTCATGCTTGGCCTAGAAAGGTTGGGCCATAGGGAATGTTTCCTTTTACCCTGTTGATACAAGCTGTGTCAGTTTTGTTGGAGAGCCCCATCTGAAACTGGGAGTTGCAAACTTGGGTTTCAGACCAGAAGTCACTCGAACTGTTGGGCGAGCTGTAGTACAGCGAGTCCCACCCCTCCCTGCCAGACACCTTCAGTGCAGACAGCAGGTACGGCACGCAGCAGCAGAAGTGAGGGAAGGAGAATTGAGTATTAAGGGTGCTTAATGCCTCTCCAGGAGAACAAGGTAGTTGAAGGGTGAGGAATTTTCCAGAGCTGTTATTTCTCAGTGCACCCAAAAAACCAAACAAGAGAAACCCAAAACACCTCTCCTCTACCTTACTGTCTTTCTAGAGGGGTCATTTAGAACAAAAGTCCTCCATCTGGAAACAGACTCTGGTGCATGAATTCTGATACAGATTCTCCTTTTTTTTTTTTTTTTTCCACCCCAAGTCTAAATTCCTCAATATTTTCTTCCCTTTCTTCATGTCTAGGGTTCTGGATATTGTGAACTCAGAGGAAAGGAATGCTTCGGTTATTGACGTGTGTGACTCAAAGGACTTCTGGATGAGGTGCTTATCTAACAGTTCAGAAGTGGTGGAAAGGTACATACAATAGTGCCACACCAATAAACTTCAGAAGGAATTTCAGATTTCAGCCTTCCTTAAGGATTGAGTTATACTGTATGATGCATGTGTTGCTGGCAGTTATTTTTCCATTAATTGCTGTGAGAATCTTTTAGTCTAAGTAAGAGGCTTCATCTTCTAGCCTTTGCATGTGCTTTCAGCAGACATTTGATTACTGGGCTGGTTATTCTGAGTGCCAAATGCTGAAAGGAAGGTTCAGTATAACTGTTTGCGTTTGTTGTTTTTCTTGCTCAGAACCTAGTGCCCGTGAGAAGCCAGAACACAAGGCACAAGCTACAGTCAGTTTCTGTGGTTCTGCTCTATCTATGCTAACAAAGCTAGATTGGGGTTTCTTGCCTGAAGCTTGGGGCTTTTTGATGTACCCAGTTTGAACTACAGGCTTTGGCGAGGTACCAAATGAGGGTAAAATGGCATTCATGTGGTCTAGATTTAGCTTTGATATTTAAACAAATCTGAACTGTTGTGTGAAACCTGCTTGAAATAAAATTACAATATCACTTTACAGATCTAGAAATGGGATGGTAAAGGGTTAGAACATGAGACTTAGTGAAAAGATCTAGGCTCTAGCTATATTCTGACTTGCTGAATGGTTCTAGACAAGTCCGTCTTTTTTCTACCTATTTCTTGTCTTGTTACTGGTAATAATGATGACTTTTCTTTTTCCAGGGGTTGCTGTGAAAATTGATCAGTTTGTAAAGAATTCTCGGTGCAAACAGCACTGCAGTGATAGCATTATTAAGGGTGTGGGTTTCACTCCAAGGAATTAAAGTACATTGAGCTTTCCCATGTTCCAGTCTAACCATGTACTGCAGTACATATGGGACGTGGAATTCTCTCCTATTAAGGATGGCAGTAGGTCAGGTTGGGTGGTGGGAATGTCTGGGATGAAGGTGTCTACTTGGAAGTTTCTGTAAAGCCTATAGCATGACTAGAAAAAGTTATTTTCAGGGTCAGGTCATCCAGCTTTAAATTGCTAGAGCATTTAAAAAATCCTGTGAACTCTATTTCCTTTTCTGTTTCTTCTCACAGTCCATAAAATGGTTTAATAACAAATCCCATCTCTCAAGAGTGTGGCGGGAAACAGCTGTCTGCCTATTTGAAATGTTGAGATTAAAAAACCCCACATTGTACTGTTTGTTAATCAGTGAGTTATGTAAGTCACTCAGGTGTGGACTGGGACCTCACTAACAGTCACAAAAGTTATTCTGAGGTTTATAGATGTGTCATGCAGACGGCTGGTTGAAACTGTCCTCAGTGCTCCTGATGAGAATTGTGGACTTTTAGGTCTAATGGCAAGGCTGTGCTTTGTAAATGTTTCCTACACCCTTGCAATCTAAATATGCCAGTTTGTCCAAGTCCTGTTTAAACTGACATAGCTTGTTTGAACCGCACTGACTTGCAGATCAATCAGATCGTCACCTCTGTGGTGACCATCTGAGCTGGGGAAGGAGGAGGTTGCTGCTCCTGCTGGGAAGGCTGAATGGGGCTTGGGGGTGTTTCCACTGACAGCTCTCAAGCCAGGGGAAGGTCCACTGTGTCCTGCAGAATGTATCTGGCTAGCTTCATGGAAAGAAGTCCTCATCCTTCGTTTTTTAAAATAGGAGTACATGCTGATAAGCAAAATGAGCAGAGTGGCTTGCAGTAAGTATTAAAAAAGTCATGTGCACAAATAGATTGAACTTCCTACTCAAAATTTTGAAACACAATTGGTGTCACACTCTTAATTTGTTTTGCTCATAAATTAGTGTCTGTGAAAAACTTTTTCTTTCTTAGGTTAAAGTGGCCTTGTGTCTCTATAAAGAAATGTGTCTACCTTCCCTGTAGCCTAAGAAGGATACACAAGTATTTCCAAATGATAGAGAAGCTAAGACTGAATCCTTAGGCCTGTCTTGGTTTATGTAGATTAAAAACTAATACCACTTATAGGAGCAATACTTGGTTTGTATCTATGTATTTGCCCTAGGTTTAAATGCAGGATATTGTAATTTCTGACTGTTATTTAAATGGAAATGTGGCAAACAAAAAAAAAAACCTCCATAAAATACTGTCCTGGGTTCAGCAGTAGCAGTCATTTTTTCTCCTTCTTGGTAGCTAGTGTAGTGCAGTGTTTTGACTTTCAGCTCGGGAACAGAGCTGATAACAAGGATGTTTTGGTTTGGCCAAGGACTTTGTGAGCCTCATGCTCTGCCAGGGGGGAGGGGAAGCCAGGAGGAAGCAGAGACAGGACACCTGACCCAAACTGACCAAAGAGGTATTCCATACCACAGCACGTCATGCCCAGGATGTAACTGGGAGTTAGCCGGAAGGGCTGGGAGACTGCAGGGTTGGAGGAGGTATCGGTCGGAGCTTGGTCAGGCTTGGGGGACGAGTGATCGGTCGGTTGGTGCTGAGGTGTTGTATTCTCTTCCCTTGTTATTTCCTTTATCATTATTATTACTGGTGGTAGCAGTAGTGATTTGTGTTATACCTTAGTTACTAAACTGTTCTTATCTCAACCCGTGGGAGTTGCATTCTTTTCGATTCTCCTCTCTGTCCCTCCAGGAGTAGGGGGAGGGAAAGAAGGGGGGGGTGAGTGAACGAATTACCTGACTGAGTTTAAACCACGACAAATACTCACTATCTTTAGCGGTTTCTAGGCCCTTGGTATAATAATAATCCCTCCCAAAATTGCTCCATAAAATCTTGTGGCATACTTGTAGATTATCGCTTATTTATATCTTAAATACAATGTCATGTTCAAGGTCTGGACTGCAGAATGCATTTCGGAGTTTGAAAGAACAGGTTGCCATACTAGACTGGCTCATAATCTTGGATCTGCAAAGTTGCCTCTGGCAGTGATGAATAACTTATGCTTCAGGGAAGACTTATATCCTCTATTATGCACCTACCCAATTGGGCAATGTCAAAAACAGAAAGATGTGCGTAAGATTATCTTTCTGACCCCTGCAGATCATGCCCTGAAGTGTGGTGATTACCCTTCTGAGAGTCTAAACACGCATAAGTGCAGATGGTAGCAGTTACAGTCATCTAATCCTTTTTTTGAAAAATGCTGCCCCAGCTTTGTCTTGATGTGAATAAACCTGTTGTGGCAAATTGCACTAATTCAGAGCTCAACTTAATACACAGAAATGGAGCTAAAAGCCTATGAAGTAGAGAGAAATACAGGCGTACGTACCTTATATGGCTAACATTGTAAGCATTAGGCGTATCCTCTCAGTGCTTAAACCCTTTGTTACAGGTACTGTTAGACTTAAACTTCATTTCAGGCCAAATATGAAGAGTTTTGGTGCCTACGTAAGGAAAACATGTTAGATGTGAGCTCAAAGAGCTGATATTCCTTCTTTCAACTGGTAACTAAGAAAATCCATTTTGGGTGTAGTTTCTCATGGCCATGTTTCCTTTAGCTCATGGCTTTGCGGCTGCAGAACATCAGGTGGGTGTTCAGGTCCTGACACTGTTCTCTGTCTGGGGTCATCATTTTTCCTTGAAGTCCACTGTCTCCATCTGTTGTGTCTGGGTCAAGTAATGTAACATTTTCCTTAGACCCTTCATTACAGTTGTTTCTGTAGTTCCCAGCTCTCTGTAGTTGCAGGACTGTAGGATAATCTTCTGGTGTTTCATCCAGGAGTGGTGGGACAGAGAACACTGTCAGTTGCTTGATCTCAGCTATCCAGGGTAATGTGGCTGCAACAAAATTTGAGTCTGCTCAAATGGCAAGTCCTGTATCCTTACTTTAAGCCTACAGGTCAAACATTTAAATAAAACCCGAGATTACTGTGATTCTTCCTTCTTTTGGGGGTGTTCAAGAACAGTCTGGTTTTCGGACACTAGTACACTGGGATTATAGAATAAATGGTGAATTTTCAGCTGTAGCTGAAGACATGACTCTTAGTCTGTGTTTAGTACATGTCTGTTTAACATTCCACTTGTAGGCGCAGGTTCAAGGTGATGGTATCTGATATGCCTTACAAAGTTTGTAGAATCAAATTAAAGAATGTTTATATAAACATACTATTTTCAAGTTATAAAAAAAGCAACAGCAGAGATTACAGAAATCAGGAAAGCAGTTTGTCCAAACAAGCTAGACGTGAGAGATACTGGCACAGCAGCTGTTCCTCTGGGATATCAGTTATTAAAACACCATGTGGTTGTAAGGGCTGGGGAATCTCCCTGCACACAGCTAATTCTGGGTGCTAATTTCAGTTTTGGGCTGCATTCTGTTCCTCTTAATGGTTTTCTTTTTAAGAATACTACAACATTGCCTGATATCCATGAGATAAGGGAAAGATTACTGCAGTTTCAGGAAAGCCTTCCTGTGGTGGTGGTTGTTGGTGGTTGTTGGTGGTTTGGTTTTTTGGACAGTCCTTTTTCCATTGGGATCTTCTATCAAAGAGGCTGGACACTCTCCCCACTTCATGCCCACCATCTCCCATGTCAGCCTATCATCTTACTGAAAACTTGCTTCTGTTGTCATTTCTAACAGGCGATAACATGTGCTTAGGCCAGTATAGCACCTCACTGAGGCTACAGTAATGAGTACTAGTCACTGAGCAGCTACATTCTGATAATTATCATTTTGTTTAATGTCTGGCTGCTGGATTTTACTTGTTCTGGGGTGTTTGGTTTTTGTGGTTTTTTTTGTGTTTTTTTTTTTGTTTGTTTTTTTGCTTTTTAATAAGGAATTTTATTTGATCAGATGCCATGAAATCAATGCTCTGTGCCTCAATAATTATGTTTCAGATCAAATTATATTTATTTACCAAAATATTGCTTTAAATATGTGTGAATTATTACCAAAACACAAATTAAACTAAGTATAATCATATTCATTGAGATATATGCTATAGTTTTACAGGAGTTATTGTTACATAGTAGAATAGGATTTGAAAATTCTCAGTTTTTACAACAAAGCTGAAAAGGATAATGAATTGTTAGGCTTAAAAACAGTATCACCGTTA